TAATAATTATTGTTATTTAAAATAATTATTTTTAAATTAATATTTGAAATAAATTTCGTCCATATTTGATTCGATGGCATAATATAATAATATATATAATAATATAACAATAATATTATAATATGTATATTATATATATTATGTAATAACATAATATATATAATAATATAATATAAAAACACTTCATGTTAGTGAATCAATAGTTTATTAAGAAAATGTAAATAAATTTTTTTATTCGCTTTAAAAAAATTCAATCTTCATTTATATCGAATGTTTAAATTATTCGCATATATAAAGAATTAAAATATCAATGTCAAAAATTTTCCATTACCTTCAAAAACTTTGTGCATTATCGAATTTATGAATCTCGTAGTATATATGATGACTCATTTAACTTTATTATTTGAATTTACTTGTAATAATATTTCTGAATAAATGCAAATATTTTCAGAGTTATATATATATAGCATTAAATGCTAACGATGTAATTTTTCTGCGGTTTCAAGTGATCTACGATAAACTTCACTTTTAAATATCTCAAAAGAAAATAATCAAGTACTGTTAATAATTTTTTCAATATTTAATATGCTTCTTGTGTAGAATTTACATCATGTTATATCACTGTTAATATGATAAATGTGATAATAAAGATAATAATGTTTAAAATAGAGAAGTTTTATATATATAATTCAACAAAAGTTCCATCAGTTTTTACTGAAGAAGATATATATTTTTATTTTAGTTTTTAATGGAATCGCAAATAAAACAGATTACAATTTAAAAATTCAAGATAATAACTCAATGAAATAAATAATTTGGTAAAATATAAAAAAAGAAATTCTTATATTTTCATTTTTTTTTAATTTATCAATAATATATCTTTGAAAATTGTTTATCTAAGAAAATGTGACAAGTTATTTAAATAAAAATCAAGCAGAGCAATTTTTAAACAATTAAATGACTGACGTAGATCTATTTATTAAATTTTTTGAAATTTGTTTTGAAAAAAAAAAAAAAGAAAAGAAAAAAAAGAAAAGAAAAAAAATTTACTGTCTCATAATTTGAATTTTTATTAATCTTGTTATTTTCACAAGAAAGATGTTATATGTTCAGATGTTATATTCTCACATATATTTAAAATAGATTTGAAAAGCATATATAAGTATTATGCAAAAATAGTAAAGTAAATAAATATATATTACTAAATCATAAAATAATTCTATCTAGCTTTTACTGCATTTAACTATTTACTATAAAAATCTATATTTACATAAATATTTGCAATTCATAATAATCCAATCAAATAAATTAATATACAATCAATGATTAAAATATTATGTCAAATATGCAAAGTGCAAAGATGTACGATGTAATCGTTCATTGATCATAATAATAATACGCAAAATAAAAATCAATAGATTTGCTGAAGCTATATAACATTGGAAAGACAATAGAAAAGAACGCTCTAATAATAGACACTAATATATAACAATAGAAGACAATAGCACTCCATAGAAATATTTGCTATTTATAAAATAAAATTGATAATAAAAGAAACTAGAAAAATTAATAATTATCATTACAATGAAAAAATTCAAGACTTAGAAAATACAACAAAAAAAAATTAATAATCAAAAAGAAATTTATGAATAGATAAAAAAATGATATATATACGATATAAATAATAATATAAATAAAATATAGTACTAGTTAACACAAATAATATAGTAATTTTTAATATTAAACTAAATTTATAAATATATATTTAGAAATAAAATTTCTTATTTTTTTTTCTTTCTTACATGTTATCTTGCGACTTTTGATATTACAAATCATTTTCTAAGAATTAATCTGATTAATTTTAATTTTTTATTTAACTTCTTTTAAACATTTTAAACATGTGTTTATTTCTGATATCGCAATATATTTCTAATGATTATAATATTTATTAATTATAATATTGATATTTAATGAATAAAAAAAGATGGCTGAAACTTCATTACATTGCAAATATTTAGAAAATATTAAAAATAATTTTTTTTAATTGTGAAGAAAAAAATCACAAATTATTAAGTTACCCAAATAAATAAGATTAATATTATATGAAAAATTGAGAAACATTTCTATTTACTACACAACACTTTAATGCGTAGTTTTTCATTATCAGTTATGCATTAAGTAATCATTAAACATTATGTCATATTTTGTTTCATAATATTGGCAGATAATAATTACTACTATCACAATATAAACATAAATATTAATTTGTTGCATTCAAAATTTAATATCTTTTTAATTATTCTGTTTTGGTGAAAAAAATTGATTATTACTTTCATTTACCTTGACGTCTCCAAACATTTCAACGAGATCGTGGGAACCACTGCCCAGAGCAAGATGATATAGTATATCTTGATCCATAAGCTCAATATTTGGGTTTCGAAGTCGCACGGATCCATCTCTGTATCTAAAAAAAAAAAACAAGAAATGCAAGCAAAATTAAAGAATTAAAAAAAATAAAATTTTTTCTGAAAATTTTTAATTTTTTAAATTTTTAATTAAAATAAAAAGTTATATGATTCAATACAGAATTCAAAAATAATAATTTAATTAATTTCTTGTTTTTAATAATAAATTCAATAGAGATTTAATGACACTTTTGTAAAAGCAATATATAATTATGAGATTCATCAGGTCATAATTATAATCCAAATAATTCTTAATGAAATTCTTACCAAATTATCAATATCATTGATGACGCAAAAAAAAAAAATGATCCCTTTGATGATTAATAATAGTACAATCAAATTTTTTAAAACTAAAATTTAAAAAAAAAAATCTCTAAATTTTGTTTATTTTTTTTTCTACTTGGAAAATGAATTATCTCAAAAGTCTTGGAAAAATTTTACAATTAAATTTTATATGATATGATTTATATAATAATATACAAATAATAATAAAGAATAAAGAAAAATATAATAAAGAAAAAGAAAAATTTTTTTTTATTTTTTACTTATTATTTATAAATCATTAATAGATTAATTTCATATCTTTCTTTCCTTTTTCCTTTTAGATAACTGCTAAATTGAAAATTTAAGTATCTGTTGCTTTCGTTAAATTGCAAAACCCCATCCGTAGTTTGTAATTGAACGGTGTTGCAAAATTAAGTTTACTCGTAAACGAGAAGCACGATTTCCTGGTAATTAAATCAAACTTCAGAATTGGACATATTAATGGAATCGTAATTTATGCAATTAAATATAAGCCACAATTCAATTAAAATAGTATCATTAATATAAAAGAGTACTATTCTTATTTAAAGTAATAAATCTCTATAAATAATAAAATAAAAAATTTAATTTAATTTCTAATATAATAAATACAATTTCCTTCTAATCAAATAAATTCTATCATATATTAGAACTATTAAATTTAACTTAACCTAAACTTATTACTCAAAACAAATTTTTATTTTTGAAACTGCTAAAATTATACAAATATTCGAAATATAATTCATATTTCTATTTTTAATATTTATAAAAATATCTATTTATTTATATTTTAATTAATTATATATATAATATAATATTTACTTTGATATACTATGATATATATATTTGATATACTATAATATATCTACATATTTTAATCCTAATTATCTAATAACTATTATAT